GCAGAACCATCCCCTTGTAGCGTCGGCGTTGCGACAATCAGGTAGTTCTTGTCCGCCAGCTCAAACACCTGCTCGTGTTCCTGATTCGCATTCCGCACAATCTCTCCGCCTTCTGAAAGTGGCTCGACCACAACCCCAACACCACCCTTCGCCCACCTTCCCGCCACCTCCCTCTCATAAATCCCCTCCACGACCCCATCAGCCCCACTACTTCCAGTAACAGCCTCCCGATACCCAATCTCAATCCCTCCCAACCTCGCCTTCGCCCTCAAGTCTCCCACCAACCGATCCCTCGCAATCTCCAAATGCAGCTCCCCCATCCCCGACAGCAGCGTCTGCCCGCTCTCCTCGTCCACGCTAACATGCAGACTCGGATCCTCTCTCAGCAGCAAATTGAGGGACTCGCCGATATGCTTCGCTTCCGCCAAACTATTCGGCTCCACGCTCACGAAGAAAACCGGAGGCGGCACATCAATCGGTCTGAGCTGCAACCCGCTGATCGTTCCCGAGGGCCCCGTCTTCGGGTTTGCGCCCGCGAAACTGACGAGCGTATCCCCCGTCCTGGCGAATTTGAGACCGGGGATGACGCCGATCTGGCCCGCGGCGATGCTCTCGACTTCCACGGCGTCGTTGGCGTACATTTTCAGTAAGCGTTGGGCGCGCTCCGAGACCTGTAGGTTGGTGTTCCAGAGGGTGGAGTTGCGGGTTAGGGTGCCGGAGTAGACGCGCAGGTAGACGAGGACGCCGCGTTTGGGATCGGCGACGACTTTGAAGGCTAGGGCGCAGCAGGAGGCTGAGAGGTCCTGGAGGGCGAGAAGAGGGCTGGGTTTGGCCTTGGAGGCAGATTTTGGGCGGTCGGGTGCAGTGGCTGCTGTGAGCTTGCCAGAGAGGAACTGGGAGAGGCCGCCTTTGATGCCGGGAGCTATGCTGACTTCAGGATCGGCTTGTTCGTGTGGTGAGGGAAGCAAGTCGACGACGGCGTCCAGTAACGGCTGCACGCCTACGTTGCGGAAGCTGGCCCCTGGATAGACCGGCGCAATCCTCTGCGAATCCTGCATTATGCATCGACGCAGGCATGAGATGATGCTTGTCGGCTGAATGGCCAGCTGATCCTCGTCAGCAGCCAGATAGTCTTCAACCATCACATCATCGTGCTCGGCCAGCAACTCGACAAGAGCCACCCTTGCCTTCCTCAACTCCTCCGCAAACCCCACATCCTCGCTTTCCAGATCGTTCAGAATCACCGCCTCCACATCCTTTCCATCTCCGCCCTCTACATAGCGCAGACCCCTTAGTCTAATCACATCTCCCACCCCCTTCAGCTTTCCCTCAGCTGTCCACCAAGGGATCCCGCACACCGCAGGCCACACCCCCAATTTCGCACCCACCTCCCTCACCGTGCGTCCAAACGCCGCTCCATCCCGATCAAGCTTGTTCACGAACACAAGCCTCGGGATCCTGTAAGTGGAAGCCTGACTCCACACTTTCTCGGTCTGGGCCTCGACGCCCGCAACGCCGTCAAGGATGCAGACGGCGCCGTCAAGCACACGTAGTGAACGGAGGACTTCGAAAGTGAAGTCCGCGTGGCCGGGGGTGTCGATGAGGTTGATGGTGTGGGAATTTGCTGACGCCGCTGTGAATGCCGCATTTGGCTGGCCGGGGACCGTGCCGTAGTCCGGGTTGAGGAGTGGGATCCATGGGTCCGAGCCGAGAGGGGGCCAGGAGAAAGAGATGGCGGCAGATTGGATGGTGATGCCACGGGCACGCTCGGCGGGGAGGAAATCGGTTACTGTGCTGCCCTCGTCGACGTCTGGCAAAGCGAAGCTTGGGGTTAGATATCGACATTGCAATTCCGAGAAACGGGTATACACCAAATGAAAAACATTTAATCCGCTTGAGATTGAAAGGACGCCGAGGTTGTCGAAGAGAGGCTTCCACATACCTCCTATTCGCCTGGTATAGCCACTGTAGTAGAGCATACGCTCCGTGGTAGTCGTCTTGCCCTACCTTTCACGTGAGCACCCCATCCTTTGGTCCACATTGACGTCTACGTACTGCATCGATATGGGCGATAATTCCAATGTTGCGGGTCTTGGACAAGGCGGCTTTTGCCGTCTCGTTGTGAAGTTGCACATAGGTCGGTGGCGAGGTGGTGAACGACCGGGTGGTGCAGCTGTTGGGGGGTAGTCTACGCCATATGTGTCTGTATTGCAGACATCTCAGCACCATGAGCGGAGATGTGGGTGTGTGAGAGCAGCGGCTATTGACTATTGAAAGGCATGAATGTCGGCATCGACGAGAGAATATTAATGGTAAGAAGTGTGTGGAAAACGGCGAGAGAGTCCTTAGTACGGTAATCATGTACCCATGTTACTTGACAACAGGCACGAATGTCGGCATGAAGTGGCGATATTTGATTAATCATTGACGCTTTACTTGACTCTTTACTTAATCAAGTCATGGAAGTCATCCTGAGATCAGGGCGGCTGTGCTTCCTTCTCAGCGGGGTCATGGGAATCTTGCCAAGCTCTGCACCGGACGCTCACTGGCCTCGTCTCACTCCGCGGCCAACCATGTCCGACCGCAATGACCTCCTCCTACCACCCGGACCCGCCCTCTCCCAGCAGCAGCAGTAGTAGTGTCACCGGCAACAGCAGCAACAGCAAGCGTCCCGCCACCCGCACCCCCTCCAACCTCCGCTTCCAACGCCGCACCTCGGAGCGAGCCTTCTACGAGGGAGCGCTGCGAGACGGGACTCCCACCATGGACTACGCTGCAGGCGGATCGAGTCCCTGGGCCAATACGCCCGAGGCAACGCGCACGAGCTTCGGTGATGAGGCGGGTGTGCCGAGACGAGATCTGCCTGGGCCGGCCATACCGGAGGAAGAGGCACATGGTGCCAATGGCGGAGAGGAGCAGCAGCGGCGGGGAGAGTATACGCATCAAGCACAGCAGCCGGGAAGCTGGTCGCCGGAGCAGCAGCAGCAGCAGCAGCCAACCCACTCACAACAACAGCAATGGCAGCACCAGCAGCAACACCAGCAGCCGCACCAGCAGCCGCAGCCGCAATACCATCATCAAGGCCAAGATAGAGGCTCGGGCGAGGAGAACAGGCGACCACATTCAGCTCGCTATCGCAATGCCCCGCCGCATCACCAGCAGCAACAGAGGCAGCAGCAGCAGCATCAGCCCCAGTACAAGCTCCAGGCCAAGATCACAGGCTTGGAGAGAGGAGGGAAGAAGGATCCAATCCTGCGCTTTGACGTCTACGTATGCATCGTCCACGACCTCATGAGTGTGAGTCTTCCATATCAGCACTTCAGCTGACACATAAACAAACCCCCAGACCAACCTTCCCAAGTTCAGAACCACCCAGTTCCGCGATATCCGCCGCACCCACTCCGAATTTGAGAAGCTGCACGCTCACCTCGTCGCCTCCAACCCTGAAGCCCTTGTCCCCGCCGTTCCACCTCCCTTCACCAGCGCCGGCATGGGCACCGACGAAGACGAAGCTAGGACCAAGACTGCCTTGCAGCGCTGGCTAAACGTCATCACCAGTAACGAGATCCTCCAGCGTGATGAGGAGATGGTTTTCTTCGTCGAATCCGACTTCGGCTACTCCCCAGTGGTCCGTAAATATCAGCCAGCGACGGGCGTTCGGCGCAAGATGCTGAAACAGTTTGCGCCGCCTCCGGACGACACACCGGAGTTACTGGAAGCACGGCCCATAGTAAAAGCTTTCTACCTCGGAGCCATGGATACCCAGCAAAAGGTAGATCGCTTGGTGAGGCATCGACGCTCGCTCGGCGTCGCGGAAAGCGATCTCGGCACCAAAATCGCCGCTCTCGTTCCGCAAGAAAACCACCCGGGTCTCGCAAACGCCTACCGCAAACTAGGCAAAGTCGTGCAATCCACGGGCGACTTCCACGCCGCGCAAGGTACCGCCGAGGCCACCACGCTCTCGGACCCCTTCGCCTACCACACCAGCGACGCCCTGATCGTGAAGGAAACGCTCACGAATCGGCATATCTTGCTTCGGGAGCTGATCCAAGCTCAGCAGTCCACGCGCACGAAACTCAACGCCGCGGATCGCTTGAAAGCCTCGTCGAGCGTCAAGCGCGAGAAGGTCGACGAAGCGATCTCCGCTCTCGACGAGGCGCGCAGCCATGAGTCGTATCTGCAGCAGAAGACCCAACGTGTCACTGCCAACTTACTGGTGGAGAAGCGGAAGTGGTTCGCACGTACGGCCGGTGACCTCAGGGCGGGCATCAGAGAGTACGTCGTGAGACAGATTGAGGCGGAGCGCAGGACGCTGGCTACGCTGGAGGCTGTCAGACCGGATGTGAGGAACATTGACGCTTCAGGCGGTCTTAGCCGGTTGGGTCGGGAGGGGATGGTGGCTGCGAGAAAGGCCAGTTTGGTGAGTAGTCAGGGTCGGAACGGGGATGCTTGGAGTGGGGTCGCCAGGCGAGCGGAAGTGGGGGGTGTGAATCGGCTTTCGAGTGGGTCTACGCCGGGGGGTCTGGAGGGAGTGGGCGAGGAGGCCGAGGAAGGGGAGGAAGGTGAGGCTGGAGATGCTGCGGATGGCGGGAAGGGTAAGGGGAGGAAGCGGGCGCAGAGTGGAGGAGCTAGTAGTCTGAAGGGCGTGAAAGAGGAGGAGGATGACGGTCGCGTGGACGCGAGGAACGCGGCGGTCAGGTTGGCGCAGACGACGTTCTAGCTGTCCGAGTGACTGGAGCTGCGGAGGTGCGGCAGCAGAGTTGCGTAATGGAAAAGACGGAATAGCGTTGCGGCTCGTCATATACTCGAATTCATCTGTACACAGTCTGTTCTTCCCAGTGCCAAGAAGGCGGCAAGAAGACTGTTCGGCTGATCTTGGTTGGTTTCGGGATGCAAACGTGCTTCTCGAAGTGTGTGGGGTTGGTAATAGCAACGATAAGACTGGTCGGATGAGTATATTGGCTACAATATAATCTCTTCTTAATAACATGCACTCGGTCGCCTCTATGGTCTAGTGGTATGACGTGTCCTTCACACGGACAAGGTCCCGGGTTCGATACCCGGTGGAGGTATTTCGTCGATTCGTCGAGGGGATAAGCAGGCTCCTTACCGGGTCACCCAATTTTTGGCCTTTTCCACACCACAATTCGGTCAGAAATTCGTCAATGTCCTCTTTCCGACAAACTCTTCACCTCAGGGTGGAGACTGGGTTTTGCTAGCTGATCAGACAGGCATTCTGGCATCATCCTCGGCCAATTTCATTTAATCTGAATGGAGAAGAGACTGGCGATATACACGTTCGTGCGCATGCTTGGCTCAAAGAGGAAGTCACGCTCAAACCTCCCATATACTGCAGGTTGGTGCACGGAAGATCGCTCGTGGGAGGCTTAGATTTTGTTGTCAGATGTCGGCTGTCTGTAGCTGGCATAGAGATTGGGAACGTATAAGCTTGGCTCGGGACGAATAGTAACCATCAAAACTGGAATCTCCGTGTATCTGTGCCTGCTACCCTTTTGTACTCACGCCACCCGTGCTATACGAACGCCACGCACTCGCATCAACTACAGCATCCTACCCACCCGTCTCCACCACCTCCGCCAACCACTGCCGCAAAGCCCCAGCCAGCACCGCGGGCAACTCCTGCACCTCCCGCACGATCAAGTAATAGTTGAACGGAAACGTGTCAAGGTACTTGACCATTTTCAGCTGCATCTCACCCACTTCGTCCTTGACGAACTCCGCCGTCTGCAAGTCGAGTATGCTCTGCTTTGGCCCGCCGGCAGCTTCCACCTTCTGCGCCGCAGCATCTACCACGATGAAGACGACCATGATTCGCTCCTCCTGAGCCTGCCGCACGAGCTGGCGTATAGACGGGTGGTCCTCGCATACGCCGTCGGAGATGATGAGCTGCAGCTGCCACAATTCGCTTGCCGAGCCAGATGCCTTGAGGCGAGCGGAGCGGAAGATCTCGATTGACTCCGCGAGCAGCTGGCGGACATTTGTCCGGCTTTGCGCGAAGCTGAATTGTTTGAAGATTTGCGCGCCGGCGTCCGAAGTGAAGGGTGTGCTGAAATCGTGCGCCACGTTCACGTTCTCCCCGAAGCCGACTACGCTCAGCTCGCCGACCTCGAGCATGGACATGGCTTTGGCGACGAGAGCGACAGTCTCGAAAGCTAGATGCTTGCTCTCACTCTCAGCCATCGACTTGGAGTCATCAATGGCGAGCATGATCTGATACGAACGTTTGCTTGGCACAGATCTCCGCATCCAGATCTTGTCGCGCTTGTAAGAAGAGGCGATATACGGGATGATGCGTTTGATATTGAGACGCTTGCCGGTGCGGAAGTCACCACGCATCTTTGTGGCTTGAGTAGGATGCAGTACCAAGCGGAGATGCTCGGTCAGTACAAGCGCGAGATTGCGTGTGCTGGCCTCGTGCTCGGACCACAGGTGGCGTGCCTCTTGAAGAGAAAGGCCTTCATCGGGATCCGCACCGTCGAGGTGAGTGTCTGTCAATTGCTGATCCACATCTTGTACCTGGTCTTCTTCGTCGGCAGGGAGGTGCTCGGACATGTCAGCATCGATGTTCGCGTTTTGAGGTTCTCCGACGAAGGCATTGGAGGCTGGATCGAGACGCGACACGTCGATAGACTCGATCTGCCTACCTGACTCATGCACATCATGACCTTGTTGCTGATCGTGGATGTCCTCTTCGAGCGGCGGGAGCGTAGCGTCTTCTTCACCGTTGTTCGGTAGCCCACTGTCTTCGTTCAACGCCGTAGATTGGTCCACCGAAGCGGTGCCGAGTGCTTGAGTGTCTGCCGCAGTGTCTTGATCGGGCAGGTGTTCGAACCGGGCACTTGCCATGTCAGTGTCTTCCGGTCTTGACGTGCCTTCGTCACCCTGTGGCTGTTTTGCGGACTCAATCTCGCGGTGTTGTTGATACCACTCATCAAGGACGTCTCCAATCTTCTTGTAGGGCAGACTGGGTTGACTTGATTTAGGAGCTTTCTGCAGTAATGAGCTCGTGTCTTGCGTACGCTTGCCTTCAACGTCACCACTCGCGGTCGCGTCTTCGCCGTCTTGCTCTTCCGCACCAGGCTCAGTATTCTGATCTGGTGGGAGGCTCTGTGCGGCAGCTTGCGCTGTGTTTTGGGTCTCAGTGTTCGCGTTGTCATTGCCTTGACCAGCTTCGCCAGAAACCTCATCGTTGTTGGCTTCAGCGTCGTGCGCATCTAGGTCGTCTTCCATCAAGACATCAGAATGAGTGCCTTCGTCATCGCCGCCCTCTTCACTTGCGTCGTCGCCCGCTTCACGGGTGTCGCTGGGTGACCCAGTCTGATCGAGCTCACCAGTCTCCTCAGCTTCTGGTGCTTCACGATCGGGAGATTCGCCACGGGCCGTGTCGTCGGCCGTGTCATTGAGCTCGTCAACATCATCGTCCGAAAGTCTGTCCATGTCCGAGTCCACGTCCTCTTCGACCTCTTTACCGTCCACAGTAATGTCCGCAGGTAGGTCCAGGTTGTCCTGTTCGTCTGTGTGAGGGTCCAAATGCTCCATGTCCTGCGTCTCGATCCGCTCCTCTTCGTCTGGTACATCATCAGTGCCTGCCGCGTCTTCCTGTCCCGGCTCATCTTTTTCCTTCTGCTTGCCCTCTCTCGCAGCAGCAGACTCGTCGTTCGTACTCGAGCCTTGAACATCGTCCCCTTCCTTGTCGGGGCGCTCATCATTAGCGCCTTCATCCCACATCTTCTCGTCCATTGCAGAAGGACCTTGCTCATCCACTGCGCCTGCTTCTTCATCCACATCACCATCAGCTCCGGGAGAGTCATCTCCGTTACCTTCGCCTTGCTCTGAACCTTCGGGCTCCTCCCCGAAACCACCTTCCATTTCCTGGTCGGCCATGTCCACAGCATCCTTCTCATCTGGGAGATCCTTCGAGGCGCCGCTAGCCTGCGGCTCTTCAGCAAGCTCTCCCAGGTCTTCGTCATCTCCAACGTCCTTGCTAATGTCCTCTCCACCTTCGCCGTCACCCAAGCCAGTTCCAGACTCGACTTCCCCAGCTTGCTGATCCTTGTTGCCGGCTTTCTCCGATGGCGTACAGAAGCCACGTTGAGCCAGTTCCATGAAAGCCATGGCCATGTGATAAGCAAGCTTGTTGGTCTCGAAGTGCAGACCGATGGCACTCTCTAGCAGCTTCTGGCAGGTTGCTGCAAAGGCGTCGACGACTGGCCAAATGCTTTGGCATACTGCGGCAATGGCGGTCAATGAGTTGGCGCTTTCCAGTGCGACGTGAGCGAGGCCGGCAAGCAAGCTGCTCATGCTCTGAGTGATAGTGTCGAGGCGCAAGGCGTCGATCTCATTGTTGAGTGCTACACCTGTTCGCACGAGCCACCTTGGTTGCTCCACTTTCACTGTGTACGCTTTGCTGCGCTCCTCGACATTCTCGACAGCACCGAGCATAGTATCCAACGTTTGCTGTAGCTCGTTTACCCAGGCGTTCAACGTCTGCGAGACGTGTCCGTTAGACTGAAGCGGGGAAGGCTCCGTGGGACCTGTCCATCGCCGGACATGGTCAAGGATGGGACCTGTACTGGGGTGAGATTCAACGCAAACGCTGATGGCTTTTTCAAGCCCTACAGTCAGCTCCGAGAAACGTGCAGTCGAGGACGGGTCTCTGTCGATGCCGATACCAGCGGGTAACGGTGGTTCAGAACGCATATCTTCCTCGAATGTGCCGAGTTGAAGAGCGATGGTACTCAGTTCTCCGACGATAGCTGACTTGTCATCCCCAGCTAGAGCCGCTTGAGCTTGCAGGAGCTGTGTGCACGTCTGTATGATACTTCCAAGACAGCGAGCATGAGAGCCGAGGGCCATTGATGCGCAATGATGCTCCTCAATGACAAGGCTCTCGGTCGAAGCCAGCGAGTGCACTTGACAAAGTACAGACTGCAACCGGGATATGCGGCGTAGTTGATTACAGAGTGCTGAGCGTTGTACCACGGCAGTCTGCAGCATGCTTTCAAGCAGGGTCATGCATCGCACGGCTTCAGCTGGGGTCAAGTCGTCCGAGTGCTTTCTTGCGCTTTGTCTCACAGAGGGCAGGATAGCCAAGAAGCTGTGAAAGTAGTGCTCTGTACCAGCGAGTATAGAGTCCTTGGGGTGCACAATCATCGCCGGAGACTTGCTGAGCACATTGTGCAGTGCGGCTTGTTGTGATAGAACGTCGTCACCCATGCTTCGCTGAAAACCCATGTTCTGTACTTCGCGAATAACATCAGCCAGCAATCGGCGCTTGCGACGTTTGAGGTCCTGGATCTGATCCTTGGTTTTCTCAATGAGGACCGCTGGTGTCTCCCTCTGCAGGCTCTGGATCGCCTCGCGAACCTCTTCATTGTACCTGGCCACCTCGTCTGAGGCTCGGCTGTTTCCCACGTCCGCAGCCTTCGTACGCATCAAAGACACAGTCCCCTCGATGTGCCGGAAGCGTGCTGGTCGATCGTCCCAAGCGGCAATCTGGAACGCTGCTGTGGTGAATCTTGTGACGACTGGTGTAGTGGCAGCAACTACCACGATGCTGGAGACTGACTCGGTGAAGGGACCGCTTGGAGGAATTCCACCAACTAGAAGCGGTCCCACGGAGCCCGCAAGCAAAGCGCGGTACTTGCGTACCATCCTCACGAGTCGCTTGTGAGATGAAGCAGCGCTTTGCTTGAGTGATTGCACGTTGCGATCTTTCCAGCTCGCCACTTGGATGACGTTCTTGATCTCTTTCTCCAGGTCAGTGCGGCCTTTGGCCAGCTTCTGGGCGACGACATCCTCGAATCGCTCGTGGAACGCAACGAAATTCGCCAAAGCTTGCTGTACATCGACGAATGTTGACCCATCTTGCTTACGAGCTCTCAAATGAGCCTCGAAGTCACGTAGCATGTCCATCCTAGGCAGAAATTCGGCCAGCCCACAGGTGCTTAAGAAGGATGCTAGAGTCTGTAGCAACCCCTCGGTGTGGCCTCTCAACGCCAGTGGACTATGCTGAAGTGCGCGGACAGCGGCAATGATGCTCTCGTACGCA